GCCGGGCCCAGCGACAGCCAGTCGAGGCAGCAAGCATACGTCTCCTCGTTTCGAAGGCGTCTTTTTGAGAAGGCCGTAGATGTTACTCCTGCCTGCCCGCCGCTCCGCACGCTTCAGACACTCGGGTCAGAGACAACTGCAGCCGGTACCCTGCACTCCTGCAGGCAGCGCCTTGCCGTCCCTTGCCATCCCCTCTAGGCCTCTACACCGCACGAAGGCCGTGGCAGGGCCGCACGGCCGCGCCGTGATCTCTGTACATCGCCCCGGGCACGGCAGTGGCGGAGTGTCCCCGGGCACGGCAGGACTAGATCGACATGTCTCGGCTAGGTGGTGCCCCGCTTGGTACCCAAGGAGCCTCATAGGTACTAACAGAGGTGGTTTCTTTAAATACGTAGGCTACATGAACTAACGATCATAAAGATTATAAGTAGTCGTGCATATCATATACTTGCAGGGTACGAGCCGTACGCAACGGCGACGCGACCACACCGACGTTGGCTACACTCCCAATGTGTTGCCAACAAATCTGAAGAGACAGAGGCGTTCGAGAGATCCTTACACTCTTGGGTCTTAGTTTGTTAGGTCGAACGAATATTGGCGTCCGAAACTTGCAAGCTTAATTGGTTATGTTATGTCGAACTTATATTAAATCAATGAAAATTTTATGTGGCAGCTTGTCAACTTGCGCACGGACTGTATTTATTTGCTTCATATTCGTTTCAATGCTTCGCGGCAGCACTACCGGCGAGATTAAGTAGCAACTAATTCGGGAACCGGCAGTCCCGACGTATCTCGACGCCGGTGGCCGACGTCTTGACCCCGATCCTCTCGAGCTTGGTCATCGCCGCCACGAAATCGCTGAAGAAAACACCCTGGTTAGACGCGCAGTAGTCGACCGTGCTGAGCGACCCCATGGCAGACTAGAGCACCTGATCGAAGCCCACCAGGAAGGGGTCGAGGAAGCCGGGGTCCATGGTCCATGATCGCGTCGCTGTCGATCCTCAACCAAAAGCAGCCGATCTTCTGTCTGCGCCCAGGTCCTGCCGCGCCATGCGCCGTGGCGCGTCAGTGCCGCGCCAAGATCGGTGGCGCGGCAGACCCTGCCACGTCATCGGTCAGCGGCCCCGGTCTTCACCACGTCACCCTCCTGTCGCGCCACCATGTATGGCGCGGCACATTTATTTCGCCGCGCCAGAACAATAGGCGCGGCTAAAAGTGTTTTGTTTAAAAAAATGTTAGATTTAAAATTATTTTATAAAAAGTGTTAAAATTAAAAAAAAACGCCTTCTTCATGTGGATGCTGTCGTGAGCTCGCGTCAGGACACGCGAGGCCGGAAATGTCGTATTGTTAAAATTTTGGAAAATGGAATTGAAACACCTCTACTTTGGCGACCAGAGAGAACTGGCGGCGTCGATTGGCACGAAGCACGAGCACGGCGGTCCTGCCTAAAGATGGCAGCGGGCGTGATGCCCGCGGATACTAGCTTCTTATGCCCGTGCCCGCCAGCTAAATCTCTTGCCCGCGCCTGCGCCCGCGACCCGCCATGGGCAACAAACCACGCCCGCGCCCTCCATCCGCGGGCATGAAATGCCCGCGGGCATGCCCGTATGCCCACCAGGTTGAGCATATACATAAACCATAGTGCATTACAAGAGATATGAAGATACATATTCACAACAAATCGTGTATATATACATATATTTGCTTGTAGCTTCCACATGTTAGACCTGTGGAGCGGGTCTGACGGATAAGCGAGCGAGGATAGCAAATTTCTTTGCCCGCGAAGAACTATCCTCTGGGTTCAGAATGGTGCCCGCGCCCGTGCCCGCGGGCAAGAAGTGGTGCCCGTATCCTTACCCATCGGATTCATGTCCGCGGGCATGCGGGCATTCTGTGCCCGTTGCCATCTTTAGTCCTGCCTGCCCGCCGCTCCGCACGCTTCAGACACTCGGGTCAGAGACAACTGCAGCCGGTACCCTGCACTCCTGCAGGCAGCGCCTTGCCGTCCCTTGCCATCCCCTCTAGGCCTCTACACCGCACGAAGGCCGTGGCAGGGCCGCACGGCCGCGCCGTGATCTCTGTCCATCGCCCCGGGCACGGCAGTGGCGGAGTGTCCCCGCGGCTGGACTGGACAACATGCTTGCGCCCCGGCCGCACGGGAACGTGACGCCGCGTTGTGGGTTGCTTCACGCAGAACGCGGCTCGCGTTTTTTTTTTTTTTTTTTGCCTCTGCGTGAGAATGGCGGCCCAGCCCAATACCCTCCTCTTTCTCTTGTTTTATTTTTCTTCCTTTTTCTTTTCTTCTTTTTCACGGGAGGAGTACGGGACGGCCGGACGGACAGGAACAACCGATGCGAGTCGGACTCGGTCACTGGCCACGCGTGTGCTGCCGGCCAGGAGTAGGACGACGTCGTGCCCCCAGGCTTATCCTGGCCACAGGAAGGCGTCAAGATTCATGCCGCTCGGAACAGGCGTCTGCGGGGTGGGGACGCGGCATTAGGCGACGGGGCACGGTGAAGGACGACGTGGTCGGAGCTGGCACGGTGGATGCGAGAATGCCCGGGGCCAGAGCCGGGGGTGGCGACTGGGAGCGTCGGAGGACGGCGCGACGCCGGCGTAGCGGAGACCGGGGCCGGGGTCGGTGGAGGTGGCCGGGGCTGGAGCGTCGGAGGCCGGGGCTAGAGCCGGAGCTGGGGGGCGGCGGAGGTCCGGGTGACGTCGGTACGACGGAGGAGGAGGCCAGAGCCGAAGCTAGGGGCGGAGGAGGCCGGGTCGGACGAGGTGGCCGCAGGCGCAGCAATGGCGATGAGCACTGGCGGAGCCAGGGGAGGCTGGCAGGGGCCATGGCCCCCCACCCCCAATGTTTCACAACAACAACAAAAAATAGTAGTATGACTTAATATTTTTTATTTATATTAAGAGGGAGATTATATAAAATTCTTGTCATATATACCTATTAATATCTTCTAGATAATATAATTATACAAAACACAACTAGATAATAAAATTATCGCAATGAAAAAGATCGAGCCGGCCCCCCTAAGTATAATTCCTGACGGCCGGCCCCCCCTGAGTATAAATCCTGGCTCCGCCACTGGCGACGAGCGGCGCTGTGTGAAGCGCTGGAGAGAGATTGATGAAAAAAATCTATTGGCGCCTGAAGAACCGACGGCCAGGATAAGCCGTGCGGCCACATATGCCGATATGCGTGCGGCGTGTCTTCCCGTCCTGTAGCACGTTCGTTTACTTGGAAGAGCTGAATTTAGAGCCGAGTGGATAGCAAATAGGCCATGCAACACAGGTTCTTTAATAGTCATGTGGTAGACTGTGGAGAGTGGTTCAAGTCATATTTGGTTTACACGAGAGACACGTGTTCTAATTCATTTTGGTCTATTTGGTTGAACCAAAGTGGCGTGGTTAAAAAAAAAGATATTATATTCTTTTTTTATGATCATTTTGAGGGCTATATATATTAGACTCGCATTTGGTTCAGCATTTTCAAACGAGAATGGTATTGGACCAAGATTGAGGTGGGTATGTCCTATGCTGCAGAGCTCCTTTAATTTGAAGATGATCGACTCTCTTCGTCATGCACATAGACATAGGTAACAGGCTTTGCCCTTAGTTTGTTTGTTGGTTGAGACTTGAGACGAGGGTTTCTCTCCTTCTGCTTGATTGTTTTATGAGAGGTTGGTTTGTTTAAAAAACAGATCTCCTAACCAGCAACGTTCCGCGGGCAGTACACTTAAATTGACCGATGACACACCGCGACAGGCGCAAGAAAATCAGGAGTTCACAAGAGCACGCAGTGACGCAGGTAGCCTGACGATCGACAAACCGAGGCAAAGGCGGCCACGTATAGTTGGCCATGCAGCCCGAGCCCGTCGCCCCGGCTCAAGGCCCATTTTTTTCGGTACAAGCCCGGCCCGGCCCGGCGGCTAGCCTTACCCCAGGCACGTGTGCCGGCACGGCACGACCCGTTACAAACCGGAGGCCCGCTGGCGGCCCCGCCTGCTCGTCTGCCGCAGGCCGCAGCCTCCTCCCCCGCGCGGCCACGTAGCCGCAGCCCCACCCCCACGCTCCCGGTTCCCACCCAACCACCCCCGATTCCCCTCCCCCTCCCCGCCGCCGCGCAGTCCCCTCCCCACGCGGCTGCGCCGCACTCACTCCTCTTGGCCCCACCGCGCTCCCGTGCTGCCCCCTGCTGCCCCTCCTCCAGCTCCATCGACCGGGACCGCACCGCGCGGCGCTGGCACATGGCCCTAGAGCTGCGGCGCGCGGTCCTTGAGGAGCGGCGACACGCGGTTCTCGAGGGGTGGCGCGCGGTCCTTGAGGAGCGGCGGCGCGCGGTCCTTGAGAAGCGGGCGCAGGCGCGGGCAAGAGATTTAGCTGGCGGGCACGGGCATAAGAAGGTAGTATCCGCGGGCATCACGCCTGCTGCCATCTTTATTTGTGATCTTCGCTCTATACATACATGTATTATGAACGTGTATCGTTTTAATTTTTTTTTCCCCGAGCGGTAGGAATATATTTCGGGATTTGGTTTACGTATTTCCAATCCTAGAAAGTATAACCCATTTGATCTTGCAGTGCAACACAGATTATGAGAAACTATCTGAGAGAGTCTCATACTTACTGAAAGTCAGTAGTCAGATATCCGGTTTTTATGTGCCAAGCATTTTGACGAGAAAAGCTAAAAATAGGTGATACATATATTTGCTTCATCCTTGAACAAGGCGGAGAAATCGCGTGCGCCACACAGTAGAAACCAAGAACTTCCAACGTGCTGCTGCTGCATAGGGGCACAGGTTCAGTACACGGCACCCATGTCCATTCCAGACGACAATAAGCAACCACCTAACAATGCACGATTAACATCTACAGCAAGAGCTACAGAGTCTTTTCACCACCTACAAGCCTGCTGCTTCTCCCCGAGTGAGCTTCATCCTTCAGTTCTTTCTGCCAGTTGTACCACGGTCAGAAGGTGTCTGGGGCCTGGTCATTTCCAGGACAGGCCGGAGAAGCACCCTGGCTGCTGCTGCTGCCCATGGCCGCCGCTGCTGGCCCCTGCGTGCGGCGGGCTCGGGGCGCCGCCGGATGACTCGCTCAGGCTCAATGTCCCTCTCGACGGCGGGCTGCTCGGCCCTGCCGCCACGCCCGTCATCGTCGGCGCGAGCTTTAGTGGCGCCGGTGATGGGTCTGACGGTGACGCAGCAAGCTTCTGCTGCTTCGGCTCCTTCTTTCCATCGGCGTCAAAGCTCCCGACTACGATCTGTAGAGTACAAATAACAACAACATTGGTGGTCAATGATCACTATGCAATCGGAGAAACAGTCGACGACAACGCTCTGTAAATTCTTCTACATCTACTACCACGAATTGAAACCAGGAAGGTACAAATTTCAGCAGGATCCAGAGAGCAACGGTTAGCAGAGATACTCCCTCCGTACTTAAAAAAAAAAATGAGGTCGTTTTGAACAGCGACACGGTCTCCAAAGCAAAACTTTGACTACTTATTTTTATAAAGATATTTATCAAAAAGTGATATATGTAAATTCTTATGAAAGTATTTTTCAAGACAAATCTATACATATGGTTTTCACATTTCCAAAATCAACAACTTAAAAGTTATTCATGATTTATATTCCAAATGTTTGGCCCAATCCTTGTCCAAAACGTCATTTTTGAGTATGGAGGGAGTACACGTGTAAGCAGCCCTGAATGAAGCCGAAATCTACTCATCACATGATTCATGAATGAGAGACATTTTTTTTTAGTATGGAGGGAGTACACGTGTAAGCAGCCCTGAATGAAGCCGAAATCTACTCATCACATGATTCATGAATGAGAGAGGTGGCAGACCTGTACCGGTGAAGCAGCCGTCAGAAGTCCGGCAACACTACCACCCAGGACACGGCCATCAGGGCCTGCTAGCGAAACGCTGAGCCCACCAGTTCGACTGCGATGGCCACCATTCTCTGATAGAAGAAACGAACCGGACAGAGACAGTATCTCGAAACGACCCTGTGCAGGAATCCAGGAAACAAGATTTCAGTTTTCACAATCACCTAGTACTACATAGTACAAATACCAGCAACAGTGATAGCTCGTAGACAATAAACATCAGTAAGATCACTCTTCTGAATCACTATACCTGGCGTAAAGTACTCGAGCTAGCTATTTGTATCAAGTGTACTGATAACTTGTGATGACAGTTAAAAATACAAACCTCGTATGTCACCGTTCCGCCTGAAGTAGAAGATTGCCGAAGCGTCACATTTGATATGGCGCCATTTGCTGAAAGGATGCAAACCGCGCGTGTCCCGTGCTGAGAGAACGACATGATCTTTGCCGATACATCCTGAAAAGCAAAAAAAATCCAAGCCATTTACAGCAGTGAACTGATAAAGGTTATAAAAATGCAACCTCTCATCTAAAAAGATAAGAAGCCTAACCATCCTGAATGCTGATACTTTTGGGGGAAATAACAGACAGATGTCCAATGGAACTTTATAATAATAAACAGAAGCTAGTGAGTGGTGACCAAGCCGGTAAGTTGTTAATACCGCACTGGCTTTCCACTAGCTTAAGCATCCAGTTAGTTATATGGAGTTAAGCTTAAGCCTCAATCCCAGGTCACAGTGGGAGACTTAGCATTCTGGTAACACGAGTTCTGGAAGTATGGAAGAGTATGGAAGCCGAGGATATGACTACGTTTTTCTCACATATCCAATGGACTAGAATATGATATGTCCTGCTTTAGTAATAAGTGCTCAAACTAAGCCTTAAAATTCAGTAAAATGGAAAAAGCACCACTAATGCACTACAATTAATAGCTTAATGCAAACTAAGAGTTCCATTGATGACAGCTGAATCAGAATTCAGAAAGATGGTTTACTAGTAATGTTAGACCTTACTTTTTTTTATGAAAATGTTAAACCTTACTTTATTTAACAAAAAAAAACTAAACTGAATAATTTACAGACAAATGGCATGCAGATATATGAAAAAGAATACAGGATTATCTATACCTCTCCGGCCTTTACAAAAATGAGATGAGGTGTAAAACCTGCCCCTCCTGGCCCTGCAAAACATACCCGAATCAACAGCAAATTCATCAACGCATGCAAACTGGAGGGCTACACGTTCTGAAACATCAGTAGTTTCTAGGTTGGGACGAAACCTGGAGTCTTCAAATTTCAGTTATTGAACAGATTGGAGTATTTCATACTTCAATAATGTAACAGCCAAGCATTAAGCATCCTTAGCTAGACATTCCGACAGAAATTGCAGAATGATTCAACTAAAATGGCCTATCCTACATGCAAACTAAAGAAGAGGTTTCTTCTTTCTTAAAGAAGGTTGCAAAGTACTAATTACTGACAAAAAAATACACTCAGATCTAATCAAAATCCAACCAGCAATTCTGAGCAAGTCCAGGCCGTATTTTATACTTAGGGGCTGGATGGTCCAGAGGATCCCAGCTATGCTCTTGAAATCTCGGTACTTCTCGTTCAGTTTCGTTCAATGGTAGGGACTTTCTACAGTTCGTGCGAGATTCAATGCGAGCGCCTCTCTCTCTCCGTCAGTGTGCTGTTAAACACAGATTGTTAGCGTAGCCAGTACTGAACTGATGAAAGGCTCCGCTTTGCTGAAAAAACAAGTTAAAATACTATTCCGACTGATTTGTTGCGAGAGAAAAATACTGTTTCAGTTAAAAAAATAAACTAAAAAAGATGAATTATAAAAGAAGCGAACACTACCTCTAAAACCCCACTCGATCTGGATGGGTGCTTCATGGTTTTAATATTTTTTGAGACAGCTTTATGGTGTTCTTTTTACGAATGACAGCTTTATGGTTTTAATTAATATTTACGCTTCTCGTGAGCCTCTCAGATACTGTCACGCTGTCAATATTGAATAGCCGATGACCTATTTGTATCCGTATACGACTAATATTTGCGCTTCTCTTGACACCTTTAACGTTTGGATTCCGGCCTCAGGCTGCCAGGCCAACTGGCCAAATATTGGCCGTTGACAGCATACAAGCAGCCTGTTCGGGAGGCCGTATCGTATTGTGGATTATTTATTGCTGGCTGGTTTGGTGTGAGAGAAAAATACTGTTCCTAACTAAAAATTTACTATCGTTTACGAGCAAGCGAACAGGTACTCGTTAGGAATTTAATTTGCACGGTAGCCAAACTTTGGCTGGCCCAGCTCAGACGTAGGCGGCGTAGTTTATTTTTGCGACCAGTCTCCGGCCGATTCCATCCTGGCCAGCCGATTTTTTGCGCCGAAATTTGCCCAGCCCAAGCTTTAGCACGAACTACCGTCAGCAATCAAATGTGCACTAAGGCCTTTCTCTTCTTGGTACTCTGAGTACTCGCACAGTCGCACTTGTTTGATATGGGGCGCGCTTGGTTCCAGCGAGACATCGCCTCGCCTCGCCCGTGCCAGCGTGTGTAGGAAACGAGCTGAGGACCTTGCTCGCTCGGGCGAGCCGATCCGGCTCTCCTACACGAGCGAGGCAAACCTCGCCAGCGCAGTCCCCGAGAAGCTTGAGCAAGAGAAGCAAACGACCATCTGTCCTCGCTATCCCCGCTCGGCGAGGCGACACAGTGCCGAGCGAATGATCCAAGCGCGCCCATAGTATCTGGAACCCTGTCTTGATTTAGGTCCTATTCGAATTTACCCAGTTAACTATTAGTTATGTTAGCTAGAAAAAATCAGCTAATAGCTAATTATTAGTTGTGTGATAGGTAAGACATTAGCTTAACTTATTAGCTACAGATCCAAATATGTCATCAGCTATTTTTTAGCAAGTAACTATATTATTCGTAGGGATCAAATAGGCCCTTATAATATGGCTCCAACGTTTAAAAGGCTTTGGTGTTCTTTCTTTTCTTTTCTGTTTTTTTGGTGAACGGTGTTCTTTCTTTTCTTGATTGTGGGGGAGCTGATAGTTTGAGTTTTGTGACATAGGAGGGTAGAGAGAGCACTGGTGTCTGTTTTTTTTTTTTTGATGAAGGGAACTTTTGGGTCTATCCGTCTATTCTATTACAACTTTTCACATACGTTCACTGTTTTGTTCGTTTTTGTTTGTATGGTCTGTTTGTTGATAAAATACCATCTCTCAAACCGTCTTAGCTTTGTACGGTTAAAAGTTCGTCAAAGTGTTGTAAATTTAACTAAATGCTCACATCAAACTTAAAGATTAGACTGTTGGTTAGTACTTCTGCCTATTATAATTACCCATCAAGTACTTCACACAAACTTTATGATTCATTTCAGGATAAGAAGCATTGCATAATTTGGAACCCTCAAAGTGGATTATGGGTCTCGTAGAACTATTTGTCACGGCATGTGTCCCAGTCTTTAACATGCTTCTGGTAACCGGTGTTGGATCGTTTTTAGCAACTGATTTTGTTGGCATACTAAGCAAAGAAGCAAGAAAACATTTAAACAATGTAAGTAATGTAAGAGGCTGCACAAAAGCAGCATTTTATTAGTTGATCTACAGCAAAGAGTTTTAACATATTGTGTCATAATTTTATCTTATTAATACTGGCCACGGGCCACAGCATCATTTTCTAAAGTTTTCTATATCTTTTTTTATCCTCAGATAGTATTTTATGTATTCAATCCCTCCCTTGTTGCAATCTATTTGGCAAAAACAATCACCATAGAAAGCTTGGCTAAACTGTGAGTATTCAATAATGGCAATTAAGTGGCTAAATGGTACCCTGACTATCTGGCGTATACAAATATTTTTTGTGTATTATTATAATTGTTAATGACAAATAAATAAGAGGATTACTTATTTCCCCTAATTCAGGTGGTTTAAGCCAGTAAATATTCTTCTTGCTTTTACCTTTGGTTTATTCTTTGGATGGATTGTGGTAAAAGTTACAAGAGCACCTGCGAAGCTAAGAGGCCTCATTTTGGGCTGTTGTTCTGCTGGTAACTAAGTGTACTTATACACCTTTTTTGCAATTATCAGTAAATAATGATTAAACTTCAGTTTTTAGATAACATAGCGCAGAACCTTCAAATGCTTATTATTTCTATCTCAGATAGGCTAGATGCATGTCTATTTGCTCTAGATTTTGGTGTTTTGTGAAGGAGCAATTATTCCCATGGCTCTGGTTCATATTGAAAGGAATGGCTCTAGTTCAGATTGGCTATGCAGAGCAGAACTTACTTCGGAAATATACATTCTTTATTTACCCAATCTTTTGAAAAACTTAGGCATTCAGCTTGAAGATAGTCAGAGTGATACTAGTAAATAGTCCAGCAAGGAAGCAAGATACAAGTGAAGAGGGACAACTGAAGAATCAGGTTTCGTTGTCAAAAAACTTATGTTTGCTGTTAGATACAAGCTTCTGAACACTAGCTACTCATTCCAATTTTTAAGACGTTTTGGCTTTTCTAGATATATAGATTTTGCTATACACTTAGATATAAACTATGTCTAACAATGTATCTAGAAAAGTCAAAATATCTTACAATTTTGGACGGAGGGAGTAGAACCAAATAAAAAGCAACAACAACCAAAATATTTTTTGTTATCTTACAAAAGTCACCTCCTTTATAGTTTAGTGCGGCAGGGACCAGCCACTACTGGAAATCCTGATAACCAAAGCTGATGCAAGTTTAGTTTTACAAAATATTTTTTTTATCTTACAAAAGTCACCATTTTTATAGTTTATACAGTGCGGTAGGGACCAGCCACTACTGGAAACCCTGATAGCCAAAGCTAATGCAAGTTTAGTTTGACAATTAGTAGTATCTTGTACATGTCAAGACCGACTTCGTTACTTGAATCTAGAAGCCAAAACGAGCTATTTTATTACCGGATCAGCAATTCTAAGGCTCTCCCTCTGAATATGTTGTATGCTCTTATCTATGTAATGTTATGGAGTTATTAATATATTTAATCCTCATCATTAGACACAGTAATCAACTGGTCATTAACAGTGAAATAGGTCGGATTTAGTACAACTCATATTTTGTCATTTTCTTATCTTTTCAAAAAATGCTGTCAACTTGCCGGTCGAATGCAGGCAATTTGGGCAATATTTTTCTCATCATCATTCCAGGTCTTTGCAAAGAGAAAGCAAGCCCGTTTGGAGCACCTGATGTTTGTCAGGATATTGGACTAGCATATTCTTCACTCTCAATGGCTGTAAGTCAATTGCTGCATGAGTATTTAGTATAATTTCCAGTTCTTGTAAGCCTGCTTATGCTTGTAATCAGTTGCAAGACTCGGTCACTAACGATAATGTGAGTGGCTTGCTGCAGATCGGTGCTGTTTTCCTGTGGTCGATTGTGTATAACATTGTTCGTGTCACATCAAACATGACGGAAGGAGATGACAGTGCTCAAACAAATGAAACGAAAGTGTCAGGAACTATTGCAGGAGAGAACTACTCCACCTCAAATGACTGCACCGATGAATGTACACTCCCTTTGATATCGACGAGCATACGTGCAGCTAAAAATAAGGTTTGTCAATGCTGAAAGATCTTTCTTCCACAAGTTGCGCTTCTCTATATGTTCTACAGTTTTTGCTTGATTGCTTGCGGCACTATATAAGATTTAAAATTGTGTAGGATTCAGTGTTGGAGAGAGCACGGAAGGTTTTGTAATCAATTTCTGAAGCAGTTGACTTGAAGAAGCTCTTTGCTCCTTCAACCATTGCAGTGGTACACTGGTTTGATGAGCTATTAAATCTATTTTAGTATCATGTTTATTTTTCAACTGAAACTCGATGGTAATTGCTGCGATCACAAATTCACAACTATATTCCCAAGATATCTCTGCAACCTTAAAATCTCAAAAGAAGGCCATTTTATTTGATCGCTTGTCTCTACTGCTTTCAACATAACTTGAGACAATCTATGGACCTTGTGTAGATTGTCGGCTTCATAATTGGAGGAATACCTCTGATTAGAAATGCTATAATTGGCGACAGCGCCCCACTTCGTGTCCTGCAGGAATCGTCTGAACTGATAGGGTACATATATAGCTCTATACTTTCCTAACTTTGTGAACATACTCGGTTCTCTTGATCAGTTAATTTGCTATCCATTTTTGTCAATCCCATTGTGTTCATTTGATGTTGCCTTACCCCCTTAATTACCTCTAGTTAATCTGCATATCTAATCATTTTCATGGATTGTGCCCTGTACAGTGGAGGAGCAATTCCATCCATCACATTGATAATGGGAGCAAACCTTCTGAATGGTAACTTTGCTTTGCTCTGATCACAAACAACAGTATCATGCATGCATATAATGTTGTGTCATCATTAAGACTTTAACTGTCATATTATGACAAAGAAGAAAAACACAAAAATCATCTGATGAGTACAAGCATGATGTGTGAAACTCTTACCAGGACTACGAGGTGGTGCAAGTGTTCCACCGTCGGTGATAGCCGGTGTCATAGCTGTCAGATACGTTATGCTCCCGCTGCTCGGCACGGCGCTGGTGAAGGGAGCAGTCCAGCTGGGCCTCATCCAGCCAGACCCCTTGTACCAGTTCATCCTCCATCTGCAGTACGCCGTGCCACCCGCAATGAACATCGGTAATACGTTTATATGATGCATCCCCTGCGTAGCCTAGTCATTTTATTTTTGCAGTTATTGTGAGTGTTGGAGATGAGAAAAAAGGTCGTCGCAGCAAGTGAAGTGGGTGCTGTATCTTTTTTCCAGGGACTATAATGCAGCTGTTTGTCGTCGGGGAGAGCGAGTGCTCGGTGATCTTCGTGTGGGTGTACGCGCTCGCCTCCGTCGCCGTCACCATCTGGTCCGCCATCTTCATGTGGACCCTGTCGTGAGCTCGCGTCAGGACTCAGGACGCGCAAGGCCCAATTACAATATCACCATCGTTCACCGCTTTCTTGCTCAGCGAACAAACGAGCCAACACCGTGCGTGCATATCGGCCGGACTTAGCAGCGTGCGCTTCTTTATTTTCTTTTTTTTTTTCCTTTACCACTTGAGTTGAGCCATTCCGTGCCTGCCGCCCTGGTTTGTTCCACGGCATGCAAACACCGGCCGGATGTTTCTTTTTTTTTCCTTTTTTCTTGTAACCCAAGTATTTTTTTTAGCAGCGTTGGCAAATTTTATAAATAATTTATGTATACAAGTTGTATAAAATAACTTAAATACATAAGTTGTGTTTGATAACTTTTGTACATAAATTGTGTTTCATAATTTTTGTGTTTCCAAGTTTTAATATAAGTTATAAGTTAATCGTTCATTTGCGTTTTGTTTTATGTGTTTTTAGTATTGATTTCATTATTTGTATTTTTTATCCTTCTTTTATATATTTTTTCTTTCTAATATCTTTTTTACAGCGTTGGCAAGTTGTATAGAATAACTTATGTACATAAGTTGTATAGAATAACTTATATACATAAGTTATATAGAATAACTTATGTACAAGTTGTATTTTATAACTTTTATGTTTTCAGGTTTTGGTATAAGTTATAAGTTAATTCGTTCATTTGCTTTTAATAACTTTTGTGTTTCCAAGTTCTGTCATAAGATATAAGTTAATTCGTTTATTTGTGTTTAATAACTTTTGTATATAAATTTTGACATATAAGTTATATGTTATAAGTTAATACACATAAACTGCTAATGAAAAAAATCGAAACACAAATAAGTGGGGTCTAGTTTTGTTCACCTCGTCACATAGAACACACGGTGCAGATGGAATTAAAAATAGATACACCATTTAGAAGTTATAGCATTTTAAAATAAATATTTTGCTTTTTTCTATCTTTCATTACGCTGACATCACAGTCAAAAAAAAAAGGAGCGGAGGACTACATGGTGAAGGATCAGGCCACCATGAAAGAAAGCGGGAATTATCTTTTTTCCTAAAATAGAAAGTGACAGTGATGTTGGAATTTTGATCGCTCGTCTGGGAACGAGTGAGCGTTCGCAGAATAACCTGGCCGCGTGCAAGGCGCAGTGTTGTATTGTCGATACAGGACTCCTTTAGTTGGCTAAATTTTATAAATTGGGCTACTATAGTATTTTTGTTTTTATTTAGCAATTAGTGTTCAATCATGGACTAATTAGGCTCAAAACGTTCGTCTCGCAATTTCCAACCAAACTGTGCAATTAGTTTTTTTTCGTCTACATTTAATGCTCCATGCACATATCGTAAGATTCGATGTGATGATTACTGTAACACTTTTTGGGAAAAGTTTTTGAACTAAACAATGCCACAGTTGGAAAATGTAAATAAAACGGACGCCGCGCCTCTGGTTTGGACGCCAGAGAGAACTTCTGGCGGCGTCGATCGGCACTTCGGTCGCAAGCAGGGCCGTCCTACCTGCCCGCCGCTCCGCAACGCTTCGGGCACTCGGGTCGGGGACGACTGCAGCCGGCCATCATGGAACGGGACCTGAAAGATGAAAGAGGGAACGGGACGACTGCAGCCTACGGCCTGTTCGCTTCACTGAAATTTGACTTAGGTTGATTTGTTGTGTTATTGTCCGTTCACTCAAAAGCACCGCTAACGAACGTGCTCTTCCTGGAGTCCGGAGAAGAACAAGTGTTCAGGCGTCAGTCATCATATATATACAGAGCAGGCGTCATTGTCGTCAGATACATACTGCTGCCTAGGGCTCGTCAAGGGCGCAGCCCACCTTGGTCCTCGGACAGCCTGATCCTTGTACGGCTGTGCCAGTTCACCCTGCTACTGCAGTACGCTGTCCAGCCTGCCATTGACATTGGTGATGAGGCGAGGCACACGCTCCGTGATCTTCGTCTGGGCGTACACAGGTACACTCGTGACCGTCGCCTTGACCCTGGTCCGCCGCGCGCCTTCCTGTGGACGCCGTCGCCGTGAGCTCATAAAAAAAACTGGCGCGAAAGCGTATCCTTGCGCTGTTTCGTACCGTTTGGTGGGTGAAAAACAAACAGCTACCGCAATAGCATGATCTTAGACAGCGTGAACACAATCATCATCTTCGGCCACAGCGCTGGAGTATGCGTGCGTCCCTGTGGGCCTGTCGAGCTCTGTGCCCGTGCCTGCGCCCCGGCCTGTACTTTTCTCGGATGCAACACCGATCACGATCACGAACAAGATCAACGCGCGGCTCCTGGCTGGCGACTGCACAACGGACGGACCCTGGACCCTGGACCCATCTTTATTTTCTCCGAACCAAACCTCCGACACCAACAAGCAAGCAAGCAATCAAAGAGTGGCGCACAAGCATGACCGAGGACAAGAGCAGCACACACGGGCTGCCCCCACCACTCACCGCATTCGTCGTCGTCTCCGCCTTGGATCTTCAGGTTTGTTATTGCCAAAAGGAAACTACAACAAGACACAACAAGCACAAAACGCGGCAATTACATAGCAGTGGGAACGGTAAATACTCCGCAGGCAAGCAAACACGTAGCGTGAAATTTCTGTTTCTCCCATTTTTAAGGCGCGTAGAGCAAATTGTAGGGAGTTGATGGCTATACTATGCGGGAATAGGCTGCTGAGATACAAGGCCCCAAAAGCCACCATAGCCAACTATTCTGAGAGAAGAATGCAATTTCGTTGTTTAGGCGGAGAGGAGGTCACATGGCGAGCCCTGCTGCCCCCACTGCCTTTCCCTTTTCTTTTTCAGTCAGTTATCATGCGCTCGTTTTCCCCCCTTTTGACTTGACACGCATAGCCCTATATACTACTTAAAGAGTGATGTGTTGGAAGTTGGATATTTTTTTTCTCTATATACAACTATTATATATACATCGATCGAGGGAAACATTTCCGTGTACCTTATTTTTTTTATTTCTCTGAAATTGACAAGTCACTTGGCTCCATCTACAGGCTACACCAATATTCTGCTAAATACAAAGAGAAATTCTGCGCCAGTTCTTTAATTCAACACAGTTTCCAAACCTATCTGGGCCAATATCTTTCCAAGCGCGCGCGCACTGGTTTTTGTCAATTTCAGTAAGCATAAGTTCCCAACAAACAAAGACCTCTGCCTAACTGGAGGAAATGCTGCAGTACCTAATCTCTCGCTGAGGGGGGGAAAAAAAAAACAGGCTAAAAAACATGAGAAACTCTAGTAGTAGCCAATTAGCATGTTCGCTCGTTAGTTTCAACCAAGGTTTATCAAACATGATACAAACCAGTACCGACCAGGTTATCAGCCCAGACACCGACCACGAACAGGCTTAATACATAGCGGCCAAATTTCCTCCAACTTTTCCCATCTCTCCAACCAATAATTGGCTCACAAGGCAACAGCAGCAGCAGCAGCTCTGCACAGTGGAGGGTTGGGAGTCACAGAGGCCACACAGCCATCATCAGTTCACACTGTCGTGTCTCAGATAGGCTGTTAAAATAAAATAACAAAAAAGATTCCATCATCATCTAGAGCAGATATTTCGTTGGGAAATTGTGGCTACATTTCGTTCTGATTTCCCCCTCTCTCTCTCTGTGTCAGTCACACGCATGCGCCGCTCGAGGTATGGAAATTGCGAGGGTTCACTTTTGACAAAGATTTTCTTTCTTTCTCTCTCCCTAAAGGATAAGCTTGCACCCACTAACTACTAGTACAAATAGGTAGAGAGTCTGAACGTCAAGGTACACGAAAATAGACGGTTTGTTTGGTTTGAATATAGAAAAGGAGGAAAAAAGATGGCGTGCCATCAGGAAATTGGAAGCCGGCAACAGTGCACTTATATCATTATTCAGCTATTGTATATAGCACAAAGAAAGCACTAGTATATAGGTGTACTCAAACATCATCACAGTATGCAATTGTTGCAAGCTTTCTATAAACCAAACCGATATTTTTGCACATGTACTAAAAGATTTATGCCAAATATAAATAATAAAATTGGTGATGCTCATTTTTGTCAAAGATACTTGATGCTTTAGACAGAGCATGGTCCCAATACATGTATCAGAATATGCATTTGTAAAGCCTAATAAATTGTGAAAAATATTTTAAAGACAAATACTTACCTGTATTTTATGTTTTTAAACTAAAGTATTTTAAATTTATTAGAAGTTTAATCAGATTTTGTCAAAAAAATCAAGTAGTATCTTGCTATCTGCGAGGGATGAGGGAAACCAAACCTCGTAGCAGCCAGCGATACAGGTAAGTAACTGTTGCGTATATTCTCCTTTCACTTCACCAGAAAGCTGGTCAATATATTCCTGCTGGTTCCAGAGACGGATGTCACACGTATAGTACAGCGTACAGATGCAGCCAATAATTTCTATCTTTTCTCTCACCCTTTCTCGCCCACTTTGACCTCGTTTAAATTCATGACGTAAAGTTTTAGAACGTCATGTGTCGTATAAGGTGTCGGATATTAATAAAAAAATAAATTACAGAATCCTTCAATAGTTCGAGACCGAGAGATGAATTTATTAAGCCTAATTAACCCATCATTAACATATGTGTTACTGTAGCACCATATTGTCAAATCATGGACTAATTAGACTTAAAAGATTCATCTCGCAAATTAATCGTAAATTATATAATTAGTTATTTTTTAGTCGATATTTAATACTCCATACGTGTGTCAAACATTCGATGTTATGGAAAGTAAAATTTTAGGGAGGAACTAAACGAGGCTTGTATCGATCAGTTTTCGAATTTTTGGCTTGGTGCAATTAATACTTGCGACTGAGCTGTGAGCTCAGCTGAAGTAGCTGCTTCTCACTGTCCAGGTTCAGGCTGTCATAACTGACGACCTCCACAAATTCAACGAAATAATTTAGTAAAATCCTTTCTTCCCAATTCTTTCCACTTATCCAGGAACTAAACAAGCCACGGTAGGGCCACACTCCATTTCTGTCACATA